CTCGGGGAGTCCGAGAAAGGACAAAATATATATATATATATATATAGCTCGGTATGGATGGTGAAAGAGGAATGGTTCGTTTACGGTATGGTTAATGCGTTTCGATAGATTGAATTTTCGAGTACGCATTCGAATATTGCCAGATTTTCCACGTATTTTGGTTTTTCATTTAACAGGGAAGATCTCGATTAACCTAGTACTTAGATAAATTACAATGCAATATTTTATATAAAAAATGACAAGTATATTACCGACAGAAGTTAAGAAGTAAATTAATCTTTTGTGAATTTCTTTGTACTTTTTATCCTCTGAGATCGATAGGTTGAAACTAAAGATAACAGAGGGAGATAATAGTTCATATGCCATTAATTAATAACTTTTTTCGAATATGCTTGGATAAACTTGTAAACGAATTTTATCTTTTAACTTTTATTAATAAGTGGATAAATTTAAATTTTTAAAGTTGTAAAAAAATGAATTAAATTTTTTGGATATAACTTCTTCTTTTCAAAAATCACATTAAGTTATATATAATAATTACAGATAAGTTATATATAAATGTATTAGATTTGTCTAATTCTTTTGCTGATTGCTGAGCAATATATTAAAAAAGTGAACTTGTCCGGTTTTTGTACGCTTCGATTAAAATTATATTGAAATCAAAAAATATTTGAAGATTTATTTATAATTGTAATAAATATAATAGTGAAAAATGGTTATGATAAATATAGTTTTATGTGTTTTGTGATTTTGTGAATTAGAAGAATCTTGATTAATCTATGATTAACCTAAATAATAACTTAATTAATATTAACCTAAATAATTTGTCTATAGTGTTGAATATTTTAAATAAAATATATAGGAAATAATTATTAAAATATATTATAATTATTAAAATAGATTTGTTGAAATAAAATGATATTTAAAGATTTGTTTTACAGTTACAATAATAGAAAATATTTATTTAAAATATATTATTATATTATTATAAATTATTAATATATATTATAATATAAAATATAATTACTAATTGAAATAACAATTTATTAAATTGTATTGAAAATAATTATTTAAATGTGTCTTAATTTGTATTATTTTAAATATTATTTTTTGATTAT